CAAAGGAAACAATTGGTGAAACGGAAAGGTAATTTACTGAGCAGGAGAGGATATGGGCAAATCGTGTTCCTGGCAAGCAGCTAACATGCAAAATGTATAAAGAATTTATGTGACTTGATATGAATAAAACCCAAATAATTCAATTAAAAAATGGGCAGAGGACCTGAACAGACACTCTGATGCCCAACAGGCACGTGAAAAGATGCTCTTCATCACTCAACGTCAGGGAAATGCAAATAAAAACCACAATGAGATCTCACCTCCCCCGTCAGAATGGTTAAAATCAAATAGACAAGAAGCACAAGTGTTGGTGAGGGTGCGTAGAACAAGGATGCTCATGTACTGTTGGTGGGGTTGCACACTGGCGCAGGACCATGGAGAACAGTATGGAGGGTCCTGAAAAAACTAAAAGTAGAAGTACCGTCCAATCCAGCAAGTCAATGTCTAGGTATTAATCCAAAGAAAACAAGAACACGAATTCGGAAAGACTCATGCGCTCCTTTCTTTGTTGCACAATCATTTATGATAGCCAAGACGTGGAAACAACCCAAAGATCCACAGATAGATGAATGGAAAGAGTGCTGTGCATATGAGCTCTCTCTCTCTCTCTCTCTCTCACACACACACACACACACAATGCAATATTACTCAGCCACAAAAAAAGAATGAAATCCTGCCATTTGCAACAACGTGGATGGAGCCAGAGGGTATTACACTGAGTGAAATAAGTCAGAGCAAGACAAATAGCATATGATTTCACTTATAAAGCAGAAATCTAAAAAACAAAACAAACACGCAAAAAAAACCACAAAAACAAGACAGAAACAGACTCAGGTAAGGAGCACAGACCAGTGGTTACCAGAAGGGGCGTGGACCAAATGGGTGAAGGGGACGGAGGGGGTGATCTTGGGGTTACAGAGAGCGTAAGACACAGGGACCTGAACAGCGCGAGGAATGCGGTGCTGATACTGTAACAACATTGTATTGTGTATAATGTAGCATCACTCTGTCCTGGGCCTGAAACCCATATGATGCTGTCTGTCAACTACACTTCAATAAAAATTTAAAAAATGTGAGACATCTGGGGTGCCTGGCTCTCTCCTCTGAGCGTGGGACTCTTGACCTCCCGGTCATGAGTTCTAGCCCCAGGCTGGGTATAGAGCTTACTATAAAAATGTGATGATTAGGGGCGCCTGGGTGGCTCAGTGGGTTAAAGCCTCTGCCTTCGGCTCAGGTCATGGTCCCGGGGTCCTGGGATCGAGCCCCACATCGGGCTCTCTGCTCTGCGGGGAGCCTGCTTCCTCCTCTCTCTCTGCCTGCCTCTCTGCCTGCTTGTGGTCTCTCTCTGTCAAATAAATAAATAAAATCTTTTAAAAAATTAAAAAAAAAATGTGATGATTAGGGGCGCTTGGGTTGTTCCACATTGTTAGGCGTCTGCCTTCGGCTCAGGTCGTGGTCCCCAGGTCCTGGGATCGAGCCCCGCATCAGGTTCCCTGCTCGGCTGGAAGCCTGCTTCTCCCTCTGCCGCTCCCCCTGCTTGTGTTCCCTCTCGCTGTCTCTCTGTCAAATAATAAATAAAACCTTAAAAAAAAAAAAAAGGGCAAAAACAAACTTTAACTTGAGAATTGGTCTTTATATCTCGTGACTGTGATATTCTTGAGGGGTATAGGTGACTGACTTGGTAAGCTATCCCTCCGTTTGGGTTTGTCTGATGTTTCCTCCTCATTGGGTCCCACTTCTGCGCTTTTGGTGAAATCTCCCAGAAACGACGTAATGTTCTTCCTGGTGGTGGCACCGGGAGGCACATGACATCTGTCTGTCCCAGTGCACGCGGTTTGAACATTTGCCATCCGGTGAAGATCACGTCTGCCAGGTTTCTCCACCATAAGGTAAATTAATTCGTATTTTGAACTCACAAAAGTAGTAAGCAATAATTAGTAGAAACCTGTGAGTCAATGTGCTGAGTCGCGTGGACACCCCGTTTCTCCAGCCTCTCGCTGGCCGGCAGCTTCCTGCGAGCTCTTCCGTGAACCGGGGACGGACGTGCCACCTGCCCCGCTCACGTGCGCCGACTGCGGCATGCCCTCCGCGTTTCAGGCTCTGCTTCCTGTCCCGTCTCTGTGTTCGTTCATTTACTGGCAGCACGGGTTATCTCGACTGTAAACGAGGATGGTGGCCCATTACGGTCTTCATTTTGTTGCTTGACTTGTCCCGGTGTGACCGGTGGGACCCTCTTCAAGTCTCTTCTGACTCCCACGTCTTTAACTTCTTCCTCTGCACACTGCCTGCCTTTGTGGCCCCACAGGCCTTTCCAGGCACATCTGGAGCCTTCCCTGCCCCAGCCCTGGAACCCGCCATGTCTCCAAAAAGCCCTTGTTCCTTTCAGAGGAGAATGGAATTTGGAAGTCAAGGTCTGGGCACCAGGTGTGCTCACTGCCCCTGGGACTTCGGTTTCTGGGCCCTTTGGGCAGACGGAGCCAAGAAGCACGCGGCTCGCACATCCCGGCGTTTGCTTCTATATTAAAAAACCAGTTCATGGGGCGCCTGGGTGGCTCAGTGGGTTAAAGCCTCTGCCTTCGGCTCAGGTCATGATCTCAGGGTACTGGGATCGAGCCCCGCATCGGGCTCTCTGCTCAGTGGGGAGCCTGCTTCCCCCTCTCTCTCTGCATGCCTCTCTGCCTGCTTGTGATCTCTGTCTGTCAAATAAATAAATAAAATCTTTAAAAAAAAAAAACAAAACAGTTCATGCCAATAGGTTTCTCCCCGAAAAGACGAGGGGCAGGGGGTTGTGGGCGGGACCTGGGAACCCAGTGCTGGACAATGTCAGCTGACTCCACCTGTCCCCGGGGACATGCTGGCTGGGGGACCCTCTGCACGGTAGCCAGCATTGAGCCCAGAGCCCCAAAAGGGAACCTGTCTTCATTCTTCTGGCCTCAGGGCTGCGGGGGCTTTGCGTCTCAGGTCCGGACAAGCCAGAGCCGTCGTCGGTGGGCCGGGGCAGCCGTGAGCCCATGCTGGCCCAGGGCGTCTGAGCCAGCGGCCTCGTGCGAGAGCCAGACACTCCCTGGCTCAGAATCCCAGCAGTGAGACAACAGGGCTGCCCTCAAGGGCCCCTGCCCCATCGGTGCTTGTCCCCTTCCACCACTGTTCAGGCTCTGCTGTGCTCTCAGAGCCATTTTGAACCCACCCTGGGTCTAAAACCTGAAAGACAGCCTGCCCTGATGAACACAAGCCCTTAGCATAAAGGTTCTGGAACTTGCTCCCTCAAGCAGCGGAGTGGGGGGGGGGGCTGTCAGTGTTGGCAGCACCAGATCAAGCCTGGCATCTGGAATTCGAGAGGGAAATCAAAGCATGCTGGCCGCTCTCGGAAGGGGAAACTGAGGCCCAAAGAGAGATCACACACCTGGTAGCACCCTGCCCTGTGCACAGTCCAGTTTGGAGCTCGGGGAAGGGCCTGGAAAGGGCTGGAAGGCACCTCGGCCCTCAGAGCTGGAGCGGCCCTTCTCTCCTGAGCGCAGGGAGGCGCACGGCCCTCTGTGCTCGCAGGTTCATTTGTTTGATGAATTTGTCCTAACTTGAAAGGCCCTGGTTTATAACACTCACTTCCTGTCCCCGTCCCGTTGCCAACAGAACCGCAGGCCGGTTAACTGCACGTCCATCACCGGCTGTGGCGGGGGTGGGGGGGGCAGGGCGGGGAGCCTCCTGGGGGGCCCAGCTGTGTTCGCTCCCGGCCACACCCAGCCCTCGGCCTCCTGTGCTCCAGCAACCCCCCTCCTCCACCTCTTCCTGTGGGGCGGACCCGATGGGGACAGGAGGACCGACACCCTCCGTGTTTGCCGAAGAGACCCAGCCTTCCCGCAGAGTCGCGGAGAGTGGTCATCGGAAAGTGGCCGGGCCACCAGCTTGGGCTTGGAGCACTCGGGGGCTGCGGGGGGCTAAGCGGGGAGGCGCGGCAGTGTGGGGCTGGCTGAGGACGGCCGGGGCGGCAGGGCTGTCCTACCGCATGTCCGCATGGCCGCCGGGAGGGCACCAGGCCCCTGGAGCATTGGTCCCTCGGTCATTTCTACCGTCTCTACCGTGTGGATTTGGTTTTTAAGTATTTTGTTATTTCCCTCGGACTTCCGTGACACTTTCCCACTCACTGGGTGCCTGAAAGCAGCGGGAATTGGCACTGGAGAGACCACAGGTCCTAAATCAAGGTGTGGGCGGGGCCAAGCACCTTCCAAAGGCTGGGGGAGGGGGAATTCACTGAGTCTTCCTGGGGTTACCCCCCAGTGTCTGCCTCCCCCTCACTGGACATCTCCCTCCCTGTGCCCCTGAGTCTGAAATGTCCCTCTACCTTTCTCTGATCATGAGGACGCTATCATTGGATTTAGGGCCGAGCCAAAGTCCAGGATGACCTCATGTGAAAATGGGATTTAATTCAGAACCAGGAGGCACCGAGGACCTGGAGCCCGGCCCCCGGTCTAGAAATGCAGGGGTATGGCCCTGAGAGGGACCTGGGCCTGGCTGGAGGCCTCAGCACCCAGATTCCCGTGAGGCTGGGCTGCCTTCCCAGCGCCCCTTTCCTTGGGCTCGGGACACCCTGGCTGGGACCAGGGCAGGAAAGCCACAGAGAAGTGCTGAGGTCTCTTTGAGACCAGATCCAGGTGCTGCAGAGACCAAGTAGGGCCAAGGGGTGGAGGGTGCCCACCTGTCCCAGCGGCCCCTCCTGGGGTGGCTCTCTGCCCACACAGAGCCGAGGGGCCCGTAAGGTCCTAGTGTTTGGGGTCAGGCAGCCCTGGGCCCTGTCTGCAGCCCTGGGGCCTTGGCTGGTGACCTCTGCTCCTCACCTGGAGGCCCCCCCCACTGGGGGTCCTGGGGCGGCCGGGCTATTGCTTTGGTCCAGCCACCAGGTTTCACCCAAGACGTGGCCTTGGGAGGAGTGAGCAGGTGGCCTGTCGAGCCCTCCGTGCTCCCCTAGCTCTAGAGGTGGCCAGGCCCAGAGTGGGACCCCTTACCTGCAAAGGTGTAGGGCTGGGGGAGGAGGGAAGGCCAGGGGCCCACGTTCGACAAAGGCTTCATGCACTTCCCCCTTGCGGAAGCAGGATCAGGTCAGAAGCTTGCACAGGAGACTGAGGGCTGTGTCACAGCCTGCAGGGCTGAGAGGCCAGGAGCAGGGGACACAGCAGCAGTGCCCTTCCTCCACCAAGCCATCTGGGCAGCCTCAGACAGGGGGACGGTGATACCTAGGAGCATATCTGTCAGGGCCCAGAGAGGGGGCCTGCGGCTCTCCCCACAGGCCAGAGGATCACCAGCTGCTGCCCTGGGCCTGCGAGACACTGGGCTGTGCCTGGCTTCTCCAGGGCTCCCCCTCTGCCCTCCTGCAGTTGGGACAGGAGGGGCTGATGCAGGACATCACCTGTCAGGACTTGGGGCCATTTCCTCGCCCCCCCCCACCTGCCCCGGGGGGAGCAGCCAGCTTGTCCCAGCATGTCCTGCCTTTTGGGCCCCTGGCTGCCCTAACTCCCTCTGTCCTCCCAGTGCTTCTCCTCTAGGGTGGGGTCAAGGGCTGGAGGCCTGGGGGTCCTAAGGGAAGCTGCTGGCCCTTCCCAGGCTGTTTCTGCGAGGCCGGGCCGTTCACACCCACAGTGACCTTGGAGGGAGGCTGGAGAGCCCAGTTTTCAGAGGCGGCTTGGCAGGATTGGAGCCACCCAGGGCCCCTGCTGGCCGGGGGTTTGGGGGTTAGAGCCAGAGGGGGAGAAGCAGGGTCCCAGGGGCTCCCTGCTCCTGCTGCTGGGTGGGGGCGGCGTTCCCCAGTTCCCAAGGATGCAGGACCTAACGGGGTGACTGGAGTCTTTATAAAGTGAGGTGCCAGGGATGGAGGGGGCTTGAAGCCACCGAGCTGTGCTTACAAGCGGTGGAAGTGGGCCCTTTCATGTACATTTCACCACAGTCTGAAAAATAAGTAAAAACTTGAAAGAGAAAAGAAGAGGGAGGCAAAGGGAGATTTGAGACCCAGAAGAGATGGAGACTGGCAGGATTGTGGAGACGGGGACTGTCGTGGCCACCAGAAGCCAAGAGGCATGACCCAACTGTCCTCAGAGCCCCGTGTGGCCTGGGACTTCTGGCCTCTAGAGCTGCCAGAGGACATCTGTGGTTCTGAGCCTTCCGGTGACATTCACACCCAAGTCCTCCAAGTTCTGCCCCTTTGCATGGGGCAGAATGGGGGGCGGGGGAGGCGGGAACCAGGGCACCACTGGGGTCACAGGGTTGGGAGGCAGGAGCCCTTCTGTCCCCAGCGTGGGTCCGACCAGGGCATCGGTGAGTCCTACCCTGCCAGGAGGGCTTGTTGTAAGCAGGGGGTCGCCAGGCACCTTAGGGAACCTGCTGGGCTCATGGGGCCCAGAGGGGCTGGACCTCGGGGCTGGGGCCTCCCCACAGGGTGAGAGGTTGGGGCCAGGAGGCCAGTTCAGGGAGGATCCCCACGGTCCACAATGGGGTGAGGTGGTACTTGGTCTTGCTCTTGGTTGACCCAGGGGACCACACCTACTTGGTAAGACCTTCCTTTTCCAGGCTTCCATTCCCTGGCCTGGGCCCTCTTGCCTCTCCCCTGCCCTCCCCACCCAGCCTGTCCCTCCTCACCCCTGCATGGACCTCATCCACACCTCTGCTTTCCATCTGAGCCACACTGGGACTCTCCCGGCCTACTCTGCAAACCGGTGGCTGGCTCTAGCTCACTCCACACGCACCTGGCTGCTCCAGCTCCAGCCCTCCCCAGGCTGAATGCCATTCCCTGACCTGCAGCCTCTTCCCCTGGGCTTGCCCCCCTCCCCCCACCCAGTGGCCTCCCAACTATCGCAGCCATCTCTTCCACACTCAAAACTCTCCCCTGGCCTCTCATGCCAGTCTTCCCAGTGCTTGCAAAGACCTCTGGGATCCAGCCATTGGCTCCCCCAGCCCCTTCCTCATCTCTTCTCCCCTCTACCGCCATTGAAGGCCCACTGGCCCCCTTTCATTCCTAGAAACCTCAGGGCCTTTGCACCTGCCAGCCCCTCAGCCTGAAATGACCCCCCCCCCCCCGCCACAACTTTCATGACTTGGTTCCTCATTTCCTTGACTGCTTTGCGTAAGTGCTGTCTCGCGTGTGCCCTGTCTGAATTTGCAACACTCTCCAGCCTCCTGGGGGCCACGCACTCCCTGAGCGTGCTGTAGAGTTGACTCCTTGGTGCAAGCTCTCGCCTCACCCCCCCTCCCCACTGCAGTGTGAGCTCCGGGGTCAGCTCCTCAAGGTTCCAGCTCTCTGGGTGCCAACGGCGGGCCCACAGCCAGTCCCGGGCGACAGTGTGAGGATCCACAAGGAGGACTCCTGCCCAGCAGGCAGGCTTGACCTCGGCATGCCCCTTCCCTGCGAACCACCCCCACTTTCATGCACAGTATCTTCCAGAAGGCGTGCTCGGCCTCAGGAACCTGCCTGGGAGCAGCGGCTGGGTCTCCAGGCCGCGGAATCTGGGCTCTGCTGACACTGTTGTGGGGCTGGCGATACTCAGTGTGGGAGGGGAGAAGGCCACAGTCTGCGGCGAAGAGAAGTAAGCTGGGCGGACGGACACTTGGAGGCCTGGCACCCAAGACAAGCTCTCCAGCGGCCTCGCGGCCTCCTCTGCTCCAGCCGGCAAGAGCACTCACTGGGCAGCGAGCATAAGCCTCTCATGATTGGCACAAAAACAGTAAAACGGACCAATGGAACGGGAGGGAGGGTCAGAATGAGGAACCCCTCAACCCCATCTTCCGATCAGCTGGGCCACAAGGGCCGCTGCGGTGCAGGGTGAAAAGATGGCCTGAGTCTGGGCCTCTCATCCGAGGCGCCGTGTCAGCTGGATTTGATGGGGGGGAATGACCCTTGACCCTTACATCACACCATATACAAAAATTAATTAAAAATGGATCACAGACCGCTATGTGAAAAGTAAAATCAAAAAAAGCTTCCAGAATAAAAATAAGAGAACCTCTTCAAGACACTGTCACTGGGCAAGATTGCTATAAGATACAAAAGGCTCTCTCCATGAATGATTGGACTTCATTGAGTTTAAGGACATTGGCTCATCAAGACGCCATTTAGAGGGACACCTGGGTGGCTCAGTGGGTTAAGCCTCTGCCTTCGGCTCTGGTCATGATCTCAGGGTCCTGGGATCGAGCCCCACAAGGGGGGGTGTCTCTGCTCAGCGGGGAGCCTGCTTCCCCCGCCCCCATCCTCTGCCTGCCTCTCTGCCTATTTATGATCTCTGCCGTCAAATAAATAAATAAAATCTTTAAAAAAACAAAAAAGACACCATTTAGAGAGTGGAAAGGTAAGCCACACACAGGGAGACAACATCCACTCCATACATCTGTGCATCTTTTTTTAAAAGATTTTATTTTTAAGTAATCTCTACACCCGGTGCGGGACTCAGACTCATGGCCCAAGATCCAGAGTTGCATGCGATACGGACTGAGCCAGCCGGGCGCCCCCCCATCTGTCTACCGGGATAGACAGACAAGTACCCAGACGGAGCTGCCTTCCTGAGCAGAATACATAAAGAACATCCACGAAACCATAAAAACAAGACAATCAAGCAATATTTGAATCCGGTACAACACTTGAACAGGTACTGCCCAGACCTGTGGGGTATCCAAATGGCCAACACGCAGGTGAAAAGTAGCTTGGCGTCCTTAATCATCAGGGAAGCAACTGCGTACTAGAGCTGGGCGTCCCTTTCTCCCGCCTCAGGACTCACACGGAGACAGGGGACGGCCCGGTTTCCAGAGGCCAGCTCCCAGCCCGCAGACTTAGCCGCACGACTCCGTGGCCACCTCATTACACGTACTCCCTCTGTCCCCTGGAGCCCTGCACCAGTGTCCCAGGGTTGCCATCCCCAGAGGCCCACGGAGTGGCCGGTTCAGAGCAGCACAGACACCCCATCACAGTTTGGAAGGCCACAGGTGTCCAGCAGTCCCTCTGTCCGGAGCTCCCTCCTGGCTTCTGGGGGCTTCGACAATCCTCGGCACCCTGTGGCTTGCGGTCCCATCACTCCAGTGTCTGCTTCTGTGGCCACGTGGCCTCACCTCTGTGCCCCCTGCTGCCCAGCCCCGCTGGAATGAGGACATTTTTCACTGGGCTTAGGCCCACTTTCACCACGGTGGCCTCATCTCAAGATGACTAACCAATTACGTCTTCTCCTAAAGAGCGGCACATCGTGGCACTTGGTAGACGCAGCCTGCGATGGGGCCACGTCGCTCAGCAAGCCCCGGCAGCGCAGGCTCTCTGGGGCTCACCTCCGTCCTGAGAGCGCTGAGGAGGATGGACACCTCCCTCCCAGGGACCAGCTCACACCCTCACCGTGTGCCCGGGCGCGGAGGAGCTGCCCGCAGCCAGGCCCGCGTGGGGGTTGGCGTCCTCGGCTGGTCACACGAAGGACCCCAGACTGGGTGCCTGGCGTAGCAGACACGTACCGTCTCAGCGCGCGAGGCCACGGTTCCAAATCCGGGGCTGGACGGGGCCGCGCTCCCTCCCAAGGCTCCAGGGGCTCAGCCTCCCTCTTTTCTTCCCGCTTCTGGTGACCCTATGAGGTCCTCACCTCCGTCATCATGAGGCCACCGCGAATGCCCCTGTGCCTCTCTCTTAAAAGGATGCTTGCCATTGGGTGTGGGTTTAGGGCCTGACCTGATGCAGACCACTCCCCCCACACCTTTCCCGCGCCAGCTTGCACCCACAGGAGCCAGGTGGGCGGTCTTTTGGGGTCACCATCCAGCCACTCCAGAAGGGTTCCTGAAACATCAGAACACTGGGGACACAGTTACCTGGCCGTGTGGTTACAGAAGCGGGGCGTGGGGTCTGAGAGCTGTGGGTAAGTCACCAAGGGCCTCAATGAGGAGGACAGGCCAGTGTGGGGAAGGGGCCCCGGGCAGTGGTTCAGGCCGGGGAGAACGCTGGCAGTGGGGACACAGGCCGCCACTGTGCACACACACTTGCCTCCAGGCTTCTCCGTGTCATCGGGACCACCCTGCCATCCAACCTACCCCTCTCATCCCCACCGAGAGAGCGTCTTCCCTGTGATTGTGGGAGACATGCTGGGCTCAGGGAGGTGGGGTGCCCCAGCAGTACATGGCAGACCTGGGTGTGGGCCCAGACCTCCTGAGCCCAAGGAGGCCCTTGCCTGCCCAGTGGTGGGCTGAGCCTAAGGAGGTGCAGCAGGGCTACAAAGAGTTTGCGGGAAGAAAGGTCTCATCCCAAGTCCTGGGGGACTTGGGCCCTGTGGATGCCAGTCAACCCCCCGAGAAACGGAGGAAGAGGGACCTTGGAAGTGCCCCCAGAGATTCCATTTCTGGAATGGTGTGTGGTGAGGGACGGGTGTGTGGTGGGGGACGGGCACAGGTGCGGGCACACAGTGGGGCTGCATGTGGCCCAGGCAGCCAGAGACACAAGGGGTTCAGGGGACCAACTTCCCCTCCATGCAACTGGCTGAGGCGGCCCAGAACGGACGGGGCCATGGGGCTGAGGAGCCATTCTGAGCCGATACGCCCCTTGGAGCTTTGAACTTTGTATCGTGGGTTCACTAATGATGTGAATCACCCAACAGGAGGGAGAAGCAGGCCGGGTCCCACATGTCCCTTCAACCCTGGGGCCGGGCCTCACCCTTGTTCTGTCCCAGGTGCCCTGGGCTCTGACTCAGCCCCTTCCCCGCAGACCCCGCAGCCCAGCGGGCCTCCTCCAAGGGGCCTGTCCCGGCGGGGAAACAGCCGAGCACCTGAGCCCCACTGGGCAGAAGGCATGAGTGCCGCCATCCTACCCTACCTGCATTTGAGGGTGACGGGGGGGTGTCTGCTGCATGGCCACGGAGGAGGATGAGGACAGGAACAGCTGCTCCCCCCAAAACACTCTGCAGAGCCCCTCTTGGCCCTTCAGCTATCTGGGTCAAGTCTGGCTGTCCTGAGCCAGAGGCCAGCAATGGCCCCTGTGAGGTGGCCCATCGCCCAAATCCTACATTTCTGTTTTCGGGGCTGGTGGGCAGCAGCTTGAGCTCAGACTGAGGTCAATGGCTTGGGCCCAGGTGCTGGCTGCTCTCCTTCCTGCCTGTGCAGCCTTGGCCAGCGGTGAGGGGTCAGCGGGGGCCTGCGGCTCAGCGCTCGGAAAACCGCCCTTCTCCCTCTTGGTCAGTGAGGATGGCGCGGCTGCTGTGTCCCAAGGCCTAGCGAGGGACCCGGCCCTTTCTCATCCTCTCCTACTTCTGTCCCCCCCACCCAGACCCTCTCCAGATTCCTTTTCTTTTCTTTCTTTCTTTTTTTTTTTTTTTTAAGATTTTATTCATTTATTTGACAGAGAGAGACACAGCGAGAGAGGGAACACGAGTAGGGGGAGTGGGTGAGGGAGAAGTAGGCTTCCTGTCGAGCAAGGAGCCTGATGCAGGGGCTCGATCCCAGGACCCTGGGGGACCATGACCTGAGCTGAAGTCAGACACTTAACGGACTGAGCCACCCAGGTGCCCCCACAGATTCCTTTTCTGACTCCATGCAGGGAAATCTCTCCCGCCCCTCCCCAGGGGAGGGCCCTAGGCCTGCTCTGTCCACCCCCAGGACCCCCAGCACCCCCTCACCCTAGTGCATGCTAAGCCAGCAATCCCCTGGAGCCAGCCTCTCGTCCAGCAGCCTCTGAGGGAAATCCCTCAGCACCCCCACACTTGTCACCCTCATGGGGGCTCCTAACCCATGGCCCTTGATCCCAGGGTGGGGGCAGGACAGAGTCAGCGCCAGTCGGGCCAGCAATCCCTGCGGTGAAAATAGGGCAGCGGGCCGCAGGCCAGGCATGGTCAGGGCACCCAGCCCCGTGCCTGCCTCAGCTCACTGTGCCCACCCATGAGACATCAGGAAGTTCCTGCCATGGGCCCCCACATGAGGGTGTGCCTGCCGGCAGAGGACCCTGACCCCTGCATGAGGCTTTCCCAGGGCCCTGACAAGACGAAGGAGGCTGGCCTCAGCCCCGGAGGCCTGGGCCCCCCATAAGGCCATCACTGCACAGCTTGCACCCCAGCCGTGGCATGGAATGTGCGGGGCTGTGGGCCTCTCGCCAGCGGGACCTGCTGCCCAGGGCTCACTTTACGTGCAGGCTCAGAAGACAAGTGCCCAGCTTCGGGGATGGGCTTCTGGGTGCTCGTGGACCAGACTGGACCCTGTGGTTGGAGGCACGACAGCCAGAGCAGGGGGCACCTACCCTGAGCCCAGCTGGTGGTCTCCATAGGGTCTGGGGAAGGGGCTGTAGGGCAAACTGAGGCACGCCAGGGCCTACAAACCATCAAGGGGTCCGCGGAGCAGGGATAGGACCCAGGCTCCTGGGGAGGACCAAAAGCACTGAGCTAGTGATCCCCAGCGGCACGGCCGGAGGCCTCTGGCCCAGAGATGTGTTGGGGGTCATGCCTATTATTTTGGATTTCTCTGATTGCAAAAAGAATACTTTCAGGGGCGCCTGGGTGGCTCAGTGGGTTAAACCTTTGCCTTCAGCTCAGGTCATGGTCTCAGGGTCCTGGGATCGAGCCCTGAATCGCATCGGGCTCTGGCTCTCTGCTCAGCGGGGAGCCTGCTTCCCCCTCTCTCTCTGCCTGACTCTCTGCCTACTTGTGATCTCTCTCCTTCTGTCAAATAAATAAATAAAATCTTTAAAAAAAACCCAAACCCTTTCAAGAGAGAAATGTGAGAAGTCTAGGAAATTATAAAGAAGAAAACCATCCTGCCCCTACCAAGGGGCCTGAGGCTGGGTGGGTGGGCCAGACAGGTACGGTGGCCTGGGCCAGAGACGCTGCAGCCCCGGTGTTCACTGGGGTCCCCGTATGCCTCGCTGCCCCTTTGCCGCCCCTGCCACTTACTGCGAGAGAACAACCCACAGTCGCAGGGAGGACCCCACTCCCGGCCCAGATTCTGGCAGCTCAAGCCCAGACCCCCAATTCGAAGCCTGCAAATCACCCTCATCTGCCTCTCCTGACCTCCACCCGCCCTTCCTGACCTCCCACCCCCACCCCAACTCGCTCTGAAGTCCCTGCAAGGTCCTCTGGCTTCCAGCCAAGGACGTCTGGGCTCTTCTCCCATTTGGGTGTCCCTGTGGTCAGGGAAGAGATCCGGCAGAGCTGACGGCTGCCCGGTGCGGGAGCTGGTGCGGGAGCTGCTCCACATGATGGAGAAGTCCCCAGGAGTGAGGCCCACGCCGCAGCCAGCTCAGGAATGGGGTGCCTCAGGTTGGGCTTCTGTTCCCAGACGGGCCTGGTACAAGAAGGGGACTCTGGGGAAGGCTGAGTGTGTCTCAGAGCTACCGCCACCTGGAACACCCCCGCCCCCGCCGCCCCTTGCCAAGGCCCACCCTCTCATCTTTCCCCCCAGCTGCAGCCATTTACATCCAGAAAACATTTGGTTTCACGACACTGTTTTGAACCTTGCGTCCTGACACTGATTTTTACCCTTCTCCTGCATGCCGCCAGCCCCCAAGCACAGAGCCAGGCAAAAACTATGCATGCAACACCCACTCAAGGGTTAACTGAGGCCAAAAGCAGAGCCACTGTTGTTCTCCCCGGCCCCCAGCCCCAGGCGCTGATCCCTGGTCCCGTGGTGACCACGGGAGTGTGGGTGCAGACAAAGCTGTGTTCTTCCAGCCCCGGGTTTCATGATAGCAGCACAAGGACCCCATTCTCTCTTGTGCCCAGCTGTGTCCCCTCCCCCAGTGAGCCTGACACCCCGGGAGGGCCCCCAAGGGCACAGGCTCAGCTGCTGGGGCTCGGAGAAATTCACAAGGGGCCTCTGCAGGGGAAGCCAGTTCTGCCTGAAAGGTACAGACAGCTGCAAGTCCGCACATCCAGCCTCGGGTGGGAAACTGCCTGCATTGTTACAACTGATTTTTGAACCTAAAAGTGGAGGTTCATACCCAGCCTGTTAAACATAATCTTATTGGTTTCAGTCCAATGTGACCTTTTGGAATCTGGCTTCCAGATTCTTCCCATATATTAGCAGTTCTCCCCAGCTGTAGAGATGGTGACCTGCCTGGCTGTGCCTTCATCCCAGGGACTCAGAAAAACAGGCCTGGCTGGCAGAGGCTGCAGAGGGGACTTCCCAGGGAGAATGGGGCCCTTGGCATCCTGCTTGTGGGTGCTGTGGCCCACAGTGTGGGGTTATAAGGCCCACCTTTTCCTGCTCTCCTTCTACAAGCATAAGGGCTTGGAGAAGGCCGGACACAGTCTGCCCAGGCCATGAGTCTTGGGGTTATCAAGGACCCACAAGCCAGTCAATCCATGTCCCAAGGTTTTGCAGAATCTGGGACCCCAGCACCCAGCCCCTGGGTAAGAACACAGGCCGGCCAGTTCCTGACTGTCCCAGTCTCCATTTGCTCATCTGTAAAATGGGAATGATCGTCATGTCATCTGTATCCCAGGCTACCCAGAGAATTAAATGAGGGTCCAGGACACCATTTGGCACCCAGATGTCCATGTAGTCACATAAACCAGAGAGGTGGACCAGTGGAATTGGCCCAAGTCTTGCCTTCTGGATCCTGGTCTGGTCCCTAGACCAGGAGTGAGTCCCTCCCCAGGGACTGCCCCTTCTTGGTCAGAGCCCAGCTCAGCCAGGTTGCCCGCCTGGTTGGTACTGTGTTTTCTCTTGAGGATGTGGGCCTTCCTTTCTGCAAGCTGCCCCCACTGGGGTCCCTCATTCATTCCCTCTCCCAGAAGCACACCCCCCCGCCCTCAGTCGTTGAAAGCCAGGCCCTTGGCCCCAACTGCATACCGCACAGGACAATCCGCCCCAGCCTGGAGGTCTCAGGAAGCCTCTGGCCTGGTGGCTACTGGGCCCGGGGCCTCCTCCAGGCCGCCAGCAGGGCAGTGGGAGGCCACAGCGGAATGTTGCCCCTGGGCTGGCGGAGGGGATGGGGGGATAGAGTCCAGCTCACCTGCCGCACCTCCGGCCCCGCGGCGCCCCCCTCCCCCCTGGCGTGACCTTCGCCTCCGGGCGGACAAAGGCCGGCGGGGCTGGCGGCGCCTTTAAGGACGCGGCGCTGCAGGGTCGGTGCCAGGAGGCGCCGGGCGAGCCCCGGGGGAGCCGCGCGGCGGACGGAGAGCGGGCGCCCGCGGCCAACCCCGCAGCCACCCCGGGCGCGCCCCGCGTGGTGACTCGCTCGGTGGGGGCGGGATGGGGCAGCCGGGGGCGCGGCGGAGCGGGTGGCACTGGGGTGCGGAATGCGGCGGGGGTCGGCGGGCCGCGCGTGGGGGCTGGGGGGCAAGTGGGGCGAGACCCGGGGACCCGGCGGAGCTCGGGAGGCAGCAGCGAGCGCGGGCCCCCCAGTCCCCATGCGGGGCGGCCGCCCCGCGTCCCGGCCAGCGGCGGCCCAGAGCAGCGAGCGGAGCCGGCGTGCGGGGCGGAGGGCGGACCCCGCTCGCCTCCCGTCAGTTTCCCGTTCGCTGTCGCCGGCCCGTTGCGCGGGGGGGGGGGGCGCCTCCCGGGCCGTGAATCCGACTGTGGCGCCTCCAGCCGCCTGCGCGCTCCGGGGACGGGCGGGACGGGGGAGCGCGGCGGCCGCTTCCCGCGCGGGGACTCGGAGCGGGACCGGATGGGGACCCGGAGCCGCCGAGCGGTGGCTCCTCCCGACGCGGCCGCCCCCGGCGGGCTTTTGTTTCTCGCTCGCAGCCGGGCTCCGCGCTCCCACCCGCCTCTCGCGGCGGCTCCGGGCCTCGGGCACTCGCGCTCCCGGAAAACACGAGCGCAAACCCGGGAACGGGCGGCGCCTCCCCGGGCCCGAATCCGCGTGTGGGGACAGACCAGTCCGCGCCCCCGCGGCCCCGCGCCCGCGGGACGCGGGGCCCGCAGCCGGGGGCTCGCGCGCTGGGGACGCCGCCGCGGACGTGGCTCTCGGGGCGCAGGGGACCGGGCCGGCCTCCGCGCTGCCCTGGGTGCGGCCCCGCTGCCCATCCTGCCTTGCCCTGTTGGAAGGGGGACTTTCCCGGGGATTCTCCCCGGCCCCCGCCGCCGTCTGCACGCAGCACTGACGGGTCATGGACTGGCACACGGCACATATTCCTGCAGGTCAAAAACCCACAACAACAACAACAATAATAAACGGGGCTACTGAATGATCTTTCAATTGAATGGATCTACTGTCCTCTTAACAAAAGCGGGGTGCGCAGGCTGCAGTGGTGGTCCTGTGGCCATGCCTGGGCCAGGCCCTTTGCTTGCCTGGGCGGAATGAGAGGAGAAAGGGCTTTGCCACAGTCCCCAGCTGCTCTATGGGAATTTTGATGGGAATAATTTATTGTTGGTGCATATATGCTGCAGGCTAACTGGCGGAGGGCTCAAACCCCCAGCAATAAGGAGGAAGAGAATGGGCAGATCTGGTGCCGGCCCAGCCCTGGTTTCCTCCCAGACACAGCCACAGGACTGGGAGAAAAGTCCTAGGGAGTGCAGGGACAAAGGGAGGTTGTGAGGTGTGCCCGCCCCATCAAGCGGGGTCTGGGATGTGAGTGGGGAGCGTGGCCAGCAGCAAGTTCCCGGCAGGAAGAGAACAGGGGGGCAGCCAGACTGAGCCGTCCAGGCCTCTGGCTTTGTGGGTCAGAGGCCAGTCTGCACCAGGCAGCCGCGACCATCTGGAGCTGGGACAGAGGCAGGAAGGGGAGCCTAGCAGGGCAGTGGGGGGTGGGGGGCTCCCACCTTTGGGAATGTGAAAAAGCCCAACAGGGAAGTTTGCTTCAAGGTTCCTGGACACTCTGGAGGCTGGGGTGAGAAGGGGCAGGTGCCATTTCCCCCTACATCTGGGGGGAACTGGTGCTTAGAGGAACTGTGTTGGTCATGTGTTAGGGGTGGGGTGTGATGAGCTGGGAGCTGTGGCCAGCTCGGTCCCCTGAAGATCGGGCCAGCCTGGCCCCAGACGCGTCCTTTAGGTTTTGCTCCTGGCCTTGCCTGTCTGTCTTACCTCGCCAGGGCCAGCTGGATTTTATCAGAGGAAACCCTGACACCCAGCCCGTACCCCCTCTCTCAGCCCCCAACCCCCGTGTGAGATCAGGCCCAGGAAGCCCGGCCCCAGAGACCCTGTCCAGACATACCTTGACAGCGACATGTGTAAACACACCCAGCGGGGAAGGAGCAGCGCACAGCAACTGCTTACTTGGCTCTCCCTCCAGCGGGCGTGCGAGGCCTGGTCTGGGAGGAGGCAGAAGGCATGTGGCCAGTCTCTGCGGGGAGCAGGGGGCGGGTGCCCAGAAACACCCTGTACCTGGCCCCTCATGAGGTCCAGCAGTTTCTGTCCCTCACCTCGGCGCAGCCCACCCCCTTGCCAGGGCTGTTCCAGCCACTAGGCCACCCACCTCCATTCCCCTGGGCTGGGGCTGGGGCTGGGGCTGGGGTCTTTCCACGCAGGCAGGAAGAGGAGGGCCCGGTTTGGGCCAGCCTCCTGCAAGGAAACCCCCGAAACACACCCCTCTACAGTTTTGGCTATGGAGGACCATCGGTAGGGAAGGAGCAGTTGGCCTTTGGGGCGGGCGACCTAGTACACGCTATTGATTCCTTCCCAGACATCCCCGCGGGGTCCCTTGTCTTCTTGCAGCCCATGTGAAAAGGTGTCCAGGAGGCTGGAGCGGGGCGGGAGGATAGCGGGCAGTAAGGACGCAATGGGGGGCTCCCTCTCCTGGGGCCCTCCTCACCTCTGGGGGTCCCAGGCGTCTCCCTGCCCCTCATCCCCTTCAGCAGCACTAACCCTATGAACCGCCTCACTGCCACCAACCAACATCTGGAGGGGGGGGCTGGGCAACAGGGATGCTCCTGCCCTTTTATGAAAATCGCTTCGATTTAACCCAGATGGGTCTCCTGTTGATAACCTCACGCAACCAGCACCCTGAATTATACTGTAGGTGTGAACACACTGGGTTATATTTAGCCGCAAATTATGACTCTGTTTAACAAGCACCTTCCCAGAGCTGAGGGGGCTGGGCAGCCTTCTGACCTGGTTGGACCAACCAGAAACAGAATTACCCCCCCAGGCGGGAGGGGCCTGGGAAAGCTGTTCATCCAATTTCAAAGTCTGGCTCCCCAGCAGCTCCTGCTGCCTTTTGAAACTTCCAGCCACATCCCCAAGACTGTCTTGGAGCTTGTCTGTGGCCTGCAGGGACCAGCTGTGCCCGGGGTGGGGGGAGTGAGGGGGTGGTGTCTGGCCTCAGCACTTAGGCCCCTTGCTCAGGCAGGAGCTGGGACTTGGGAGACATTCCGCCTAGGCCACGGGGCCTGGCAATGCTGGAGGGAGACTTCCTGGGGGAGGTGTAGGAAGGACCCTCCCACCCTGGCCTGGCCCAGGTCAAGTCTTCTACCTCTGTCTGCTGCCTCTCCCCATCACCTGGCCTTCGGTGACAGGAGGCATTGTTTTCCAGTGGGGAGGGGGGAGGGCCCCTTTCTTTGGGGGAGGGGATCACTGCCTTCCTCTCCCCTCCAAAGTAGGGCTGCCTTAACAAAGCTTAAGCCCCCAAAGAGGACAACATGGCAAGAAGACCATCTTCCAGTCTAGGCACAAAGGCCCCAGTACAGCATCTTGGGGAGGGCCTGTGGGGGTCCAAGCTGCCCTAGTGAGGGAGCCACATGGGGGAGAGGGCTTCTGGGGTCTGGGCTGGGGCTGGTCCACACTGACCTTCCCCCAGAACCTCTGCTCCCTCCAGTGCACCAGCCAGAGGCCCTGATGAAAAGAATCACCACCCCCCCAATCTGGTGGCAGAAGACTTCTTTCAAGGAGATGGTGTGGGGGCCCGGCTTCGGGGTGCTGGGGCCGAGCTCCTCCAGCTAAGGTGCTCTGGGGAATGTGTCTGATTTTTTCCTTTTTTTTTTTTTAATCCCTCTTACTTGGGCAGGGGGGTGCAAACTCTTTATCTTTTTTTTTTTTTTTAAGATGTTATTTATTTGACTGAGAGAGAGATACAATGAGAGAGGGAACACAGGCAGGGGGAGTGGGAGAGGGAGAAGAAGGCTTCCCGCTGAGCAGGGAGCCCAATGCGGGGCTCGATCCCAGGACTCTGGGATCACGACCTGAGCCAAGGCTTAACAACTGAGCCACCCAGGTGCCCCCAAACCCCAAATCTTTGTATCGTCCTTGGAAAGAGCAGATGTGCACCACTCTCCTCTTGGGCCAGGGGAGGGGGTGCTGGCTCAGCTCACCCCCCTTCGCTCTCCTGCACAAACTCTAGATGCTGGGCAAGTGCAGACCTATGGGTACAGGGCCCCCCGCTTCAGGCAGGCTGGCCTGCCTGCACTCTGGACCTGGCCCCCTGAGCCTGGTGGGGGGGGTGGCGCTGTAGAATTAAGAATCAATTTTTGTCAAGAAATTGTTCCTAATTTGCTCTTTGACTAATGGCCCAGGGAACAATGGCGAGACTCCTGACGCACAATTACAGAGCATGCGGCTCCGCTGCTCTCTGGCCCAGGCAGGTGCCTATTTGGAGCAGGGACTAATTCACAATTTTATGTAACTCACCCAAGAACCCCACCCTCTGGTGTTAAAAAATGATTATTTCATGATTTCAGACAGAGCAGGATCGCGGTCCTTCGGGAGCTGAGAGATCTAGATCTGTTGCCGCCTCCCAGGGACCCTTGCTGATGTGGGGATGGGCTCTGGCCCGCAGGGGCCCAGGCTGCGTTGGGGGAGGCAGGTTCTCGAGAGACTTGCTGATACACGGGCCTGCTGTAAACACGTGTCGGCGTGGGGCATGCAAGTGGGTGCGCGTACGTTTTGTGCACATGGGAGTGTCATGTGCTGTGCGACGCCCGAATGTATGCCCGTGTGATGTATGTGTACGCGTGGGACGTGAGCATGCAGGAGAGGGCTCATGTGTGTCGTGTGGTCTGGGAGAGCACGTGCCCAAGTGTCCGAGAACGGCTGGCAGCTCGGGGATCTCTTTATCTTCTTCTTGGGGCCAGAGGGCAAGCCAGGAGGGGTGTTCACCAGGAGAGGTGTGTGCCAGCGTGTGCCAGCATGGTTCTTGTAGGGAGGGACCTTGCTGGGGGCTCACCTTGCTGGTGGTGTTGAGGCGGGGGCAGGCATGCGGGCTGCTGGGGTGTGAGAGCCCCTTCCCCCATGAAACTGTGGGTGACTGCAGGGCCTGGACACCCCAGCTCAACCCGACTTGCCATCGGGACCCCTTGTTCCTCCTCTCTGAATTCTCCCTGGTTTCTCTCCTGCCTGGGTGGAAGGCAAGTCTACAGATCCCTACACCACGTTCCTCTAAAATTAAAAACATTTGTTAGCTCTGGACAGCAGGGAGAGTGAAAAGGAAACTGGAGGTTTCCTTGGAGCTGATAGCGCTCCCAGCCAAACATGCCCAGCCCCAGCCTCAAGGGGGAACACTGGGAGCTCATTTCCGTGGCACTTCGGGAGCTGCCTAGCGGCCCGGTGCCCGAGCTGGGAGGCTGCCAGCCCTTGCTGCATCCAGCGGCAGTCTGCAGTCATTTGCTGTAACAACTGTTTTGAAACAGCATTGGGGCGGGGGGAGCCCACCAGATTTGTTTTAAGGGGAGGGGGGGGAAGAAGGGGGGGGGGGGGGGGCCAGGGGTGGGCAGGGAGCAGTGAGGCCCAGGCACATCCAAGGTAGGCAGGCCCTCCAGAGGCCTGCACCCTGCATCCCGGTGCAAGTCACCAAGGGCAGGGCACAGCACTGGAGAGGCTCCGAAAGCCAGCTCTCACCCCCTGGATGAGTAAACTGGTGACGGTGAGCTGCAAAGCCTCAGTGAGGGCGATCTGAAACCCGCGGACAGCAGGGAGCGCCCCTACCCTAGCGTTCCCCGGAGCGGCTCTCTGCGGGGCGAGCCTGTCTCCGGCGTGGCGGGGGTGGGGCCCATCAGCCAGGCTCCAGGACCTTCAGACCATCTTCTGCCCGCGGGGGTGGGAGCAGGGTTTGCGATTTCCCAGGCGGCACCCTTCCGCACACACGGTGGGGGATCCTGGAGGCTAGAAGCCCCTGAGTCTCCCCCAGCAGGCGGTTGAGAGGCCGGGGATCCCCTCCGGGCTCATGGGCACCCGGGTCGCAG